ATTTCAGTTTCCTTGATTTTAACACCTAGGAGGGGAATTGTTGGATGATATCGTTATCCTATTTTGAAATTAGTTTCCCTGAAGTAATCTGTATCCCCAACGTGAGTCTCGAACTCACGGCCCGCAATCAAGAGTGACACACTCTTCTGACTGAGCCAGCCAGGAGCCCCTCACATTGAATTTTTTGAGAAAACTTGATACCATTTTCCATAGTGGCTGCACCCATTGACAATCACAACAACAGAGCTTTCCTCCACATTTTGGTCGACCCGTGTTATTTCTGGTCTTTTTACCACTAGTATTTCTGACGGGTGTCAGGTGCCATCTCTTTGGGTTTTGATTTGCATTTCCCTGGTGACACATGGTGTTGAACCTCTCTTTATGTATTTGTTCGCCATCTGCGTGTTTTCTTTGGGAAAATGTCTATTCTGAACTCTGCCAATTTTGTAACTTCTATTTGTTTTTGTGTTATTGAGTTGTATGAGTCTCTAATAATTTGGATATTAAGCCTTTATCAGTTAGGCAGTTTGCAAATATTTTCTCCCATTCAGTATGTTGTCTTTTCACTGCATTGATAATCAGTGACCATCACCAGTGTCTGCAGTTGGCCCTGCCTGTTCTTCTAGGTCACAGTGCCCTACATGCTGAAAGCAGACCCCAACTACAAAACACATTCTTCTCTAGCCTGGCCATACGCCACATCCGGGTCAGAGCACCTCGAAAACCTGTCACCTGCTGCTCTACCTGGCCAAGAATCAGCCCCTCCCCTCACCCCCATGGACGAGGCTGCAACCCTCTCACGACCTTCAACACCCCTCAAAAGGCCCAGCCTGACAGAAACTCGGGGCTCACATGTCTCTTGGTGTCTGGCCCCTCTCTTCCCGGGGAGAGTGAACCCACTCTGTCCTGCTTGTGGCTCTACTCTTTGTGAAATTCCTTTATTTAAATTTATTCTTATTTATTTTTAATTTTTTAAAAAATATTTTATTTTTTTATTTGACAGAGAGTGAGATAGTGAGAGCAGGAACACAAGCAGGGGGAGTGGGAGAGGGGGAAGCAGGCTTCCCGCTGAGCAGGGAGCCTGAAGCGGGCTCCATCCCAGGACCCTGGGATCATGACCTGAGCCGAAGGCAGACACTTAATGACTCAGCCACCCAGGTGCCCCTCTTTGTGCAATTCTTGGCCGCTCGCGGCCCCGGCCACCCTGACCCTAACATCAGAATACATTACATCTTCCAAAATTAGAGAAAAATGATACTGGTCGTTAAGTCTGTTTAGAGTTTATTCTTTTCTCTTAATCCCCACTTGATCCCTACCGGGGTCTTCATGACTTCCTGCATAAGCATCCAAGAGCTTCCCCAGGGTCTGGCCTTTCTATGCCATAGTTCCTCCTGCATCACCTGGCTCCACCCACGGCTCCTCCTCCTGCCCTCCACCCCTCCTAAGGACCTGGTGGTCCTGCTTGACATTCCCACAAGACCTCCCTCCCTCTGGCAGGCAGAGCGCTCAGCACTGCCCCCCAGAGCCCACGTCCTGTAACTTTGCCCTGTAACTGCCCCGTGGGGGTAAATCAATACTTCCTGCTCTAGAAAGCCCTGCCTTACCTGCAGAACTGGGGCAGTGACTCTCCACCCAGTCTTTTCCACTGTGCCCACGCAGAAGCCCTGAGCCCCCAGCAGGGGTGCGCCGCACACTGTCCTGGTTGCGAGGGGTAGCGCAGCTTTCACCGCCTGGGCCGAGGCTGTGAGGCACACTGTCCAAGCCCTCAACTCTTGAAACTTCAATGTTCTCACCTACAAAATGGAGAAATCAATGTCTATGTCATAAGAATGGATGCCACTAAAATAGAACAATCTTGTGACTCAGTGAAAATAGTATGTCTGGTCCACATTAAACAATAAAATAAAGCAACTTGAATCAAACCAGAGTGTAGATCAGATGAGCCTGGGTTCAAGCCTCCACACAGCCAATAGTCACACATCCCCAGGCCAGTTTCTGAACTTCGCACGTCTCAATTTCCTCACTGAAAAATGGGTGGAGGTGTGATAATCCACTTATTCCTCTATTCATAAGAACACCAACAGATTGTGTGGTACCATGCATCAGGCCCTGGGCCACAAGGTAGGAATGCAAGGACAAGAAAGGAGCACTCCCAGCCCTGGGGGCACAGAGCCACCGAGAACACAGGCCGCAGAATCACAGTCCTGGCTAAACACTGGAGTCCCCTGAGCAGCGTCAACAATCCTGATGCTGGGCTCTGCCCAGGGATTCTGAGCAGGAGGCCTTGAGGTGTGGCTTTAGGAGGGATTCAGAGCTTCCCCTCAGACCCCAATAGGCAGTACACATTGAAAACTACTGCCTTCGCACTCTCAGAGAATTCCTTTACACCTGATTTGTTGCAGAACATTTCCCCCAGAGTTTGTTTGAAGTACTGAGGACACAGAGGTGGGGTGGTCTTCAGTCCTGGGACAGGGTGTCCCACTTCCCACACACCTTGTGTCAGCTCAAAGGGAGTCAGGAGCTCCACTGGAGGTCTGGTGGGTGGCTTGGCTCCAATCTTATCTGTTTACAGCTGATAACAAGGAAGAACCTTCCCCAGAGCCAGGGATCAGCTGCCCCACACCAGGCTTGCAGCCCTTCTCAGGCAGCTGCTTCCAGCTGGGCCTTGCTCACCAAGGGAACCTGGGCTTCTCTGCCCTGAAATGCAAAGCACTTTTGACAATACCTGTGGGGAAATAAGAGCACGTGACAGCCCTTTCCCTTCCTGGAGCTGCCTTAGGCAAATAGCCAGAGACAGGACATTCCATCCCTCTTTCTGGCTTCTCAATCCTGTCTTGCTGGCAAGACATTTCCTTTGCTTTTCCTACAGGTTCCTTGTAAAGTGTATATTTTCAGAACCTTATTTGACACAGAAGTTATCATGATTTCTGAGATTTGGTTTCAAAGACTCCAGAAAAAAAAAAAATGGGGGGTGGGTGCTGAATAAATGAGATTGGCAAAGGTTGACACTTAATCTCTGAACCCCAGTTCAGTGAATCATTATCCTGGTTCTTGGGTATATTCAAAAGCGACCACAAACAAAATATAATGAAAGGCAGTATGGGAGGAAATACAATATGGGATACTACTCTTAGAACGTGAATGTCATAAGAATGGTTTGAATTCGTTCGATATTATCATGTAAACTGAAGTTTCAAAATTTCTTATTCAAAGAAGTATAGCCCTTTAGACTACACATGGTTTTATTTTAGCGTACAACCCATTTTGCTCAAAAGAGTTTCTCTTGATTTAGAGTCATATACTTTTATATATAACTAAAGTATGCAGCGAACAAGTAATAAGCATTAGGTTCAAAGGTATTTGCCATGCCTGCAATCACAGATGCTTGCCCGAAAGTGTGAGGGGTCCTCCTCCAGAGGGTTTGCCTAGCCAGGTCTCCTGGTCCTGCCCAGGTCCTGGCAGCTCACAGAACTAGTCCTTGGGAGGCCCACAGGAGCCAGGCTCACCAATTCCCTTGGCTCTATTGCTTTATTTATCAGCCTCTGGAGTAAATCTCACATTTAAAGGTTTTGAAAATTAAATCAGTATCAAAGACTACTTCATCCTTGGAGGAAGCAGGCTATTTCTAGAAAGCTGTTTTTATATTAAAATCGCAGGATGATTTGCCCCAGAGTGGCAAAGCATCCTCTTCAGTGATGATAAAAGGGCCCAAGGCCTGATTTTGGCAATCACTCCCTTCTTGGATCCAGAGCTTAACATCAGACAGTGAGTGGGGGAGTGCCCTCCCAACTCCGTGGTCTTCACACACTGAGCACCCTGTAGGCTTCTTCTCATAAAATTACCTATTGTTTGAAGATCTAACTGCCACAGGGACTTAAACTAAGCCTCCCTTGCCTCTCCTTTTACATGGGGGATCATAAAAACACTGCCCCAGAGGCATACTGTATTAAATGGGTAACGTATATGACACAGTCACCACTGTGCTGGGCAGAGAGAAAAGGCTCAGTCTGTGGAAGGATCGATACATCCTCAGAAATCATTCGTGGGGAAATGTCTCCCTTTATATTCATGCTCCCCAGTCAAGACTTTTGGGACCCATGTCCCACCCAAGGGCTCCCTTCTCTAGCTGGGCCCTCACCACCATACAAGGGTATGCAGTATAAAATTTCCATTTTCCTGTGAAAACTTTTCTTGTTGGGATTTTAATTGTGTTTTGGGTTTTGTTTTGTTTTTTTCATTGAGGGAAAGGCTTGTTGCCTTAGCCACGACATCAGGGATTGACTACTCCTGTTGCTGTCAGCCCTGTTGACACCACTGAGGGGAGAATCAGCCCAAGTCTCCAGCCCTCACCCCACCCCCACCAGGTCTCACTGAGGGGACAGTCCTGGAGGCTCAGCATGGGCCCTGCCTGTCACAGCAGCTCACTGCCTAATGGGCTTCCACAGCAGAACGCAGAGATCTCACTGCTCTTTCTCACGGCCTAGAGAAGAAGAGGAAAGATCTGTTTCTTCTTTCCTTACCCGTCTTATGTCCTAATGCAGTTATTCCACGACCTGGAGTAAAGATCCCTTCAAATACAAAACCCGGTAAGACTCAACTTCCTTGGAAACAGAGCTACACTTCCTTGGAAATTGATCTTCAATGTACTGAAGAGAGAAAGAGACGCTTATACCAGACCTGTCAGTGGGAAATGACCCGGAGACACCCTGTTAGGTAAGGACACACATCATCCAGATCTCAGGGCAAGAGGGGCATCCAAAAGCCTCCAGAATAAATAAACTGCAGTGCATGCACAAATGTTCCTTCTCATTAAGAGACGTGCACATTTCCTTGGTCTCAAAATCTAAGTCACAACAACATTAATTAAGTTACATCTACAAGTTACAAAATGATGGCATAATATTTATTATACATTACACATTGAATATACTTATGTTTATATATGATTGCTTTACATTTTAAGCATATGTACATTTCTACTTTTAATATTTTAAACTTCAATAACTTTCTTTAAACATTCTAGGCTTCTGTTTTTTGTCAGTTTGGCATTACACATCATCCCCTTGGGAGACAACAGTGAGAACCATTTTATTTATACTCCCTTTTTATTGTATATTTATTGTTTGGTCATCGTCAGTCTCATACTTTCAATGTTTTCAAAAGGTCATCTCGGAGAGAAACATAAGGGTAACAGAGAAGAAATCAACCATGCTACAGCCCAGAAGCTCCAGCAGAAAACACTCAACTGGACCCTCAAGAACTCTGGGGAGGGGAGTGGAAGCATGGATGGCTGGCGGCCCCAGGACTCAAGTCCCTACCTCAGGGCTTTCCAAGGTGGTAAGTCGCCTTGTCCCCCAAGTAGCTTTGTGGTCATCTCCGTCACTGGTCTCCCAGTTTAGGATCTGAGAGCAGCCTGGAATACATTTAGAATAAAATGAAAACCCCAACAGAGCTCATTTTATCATCTTCACATGATGATGTACCATAAAGCGAAAACTGTGTCCGAGCGACGTGCTCCTTTGCTGTGAAAACAAGTCGTGCCCTTTCATGGATACAATGTTGCATTTGCACACAGGTCTAGAGGAGTGTGATTGAAACATATCCCAAGCAACTATCCCACTCCGAGCGCAAAGCGCACCTTGTTGGGCTTATTGCAGACCCTCCGGCTCCAGACCCCAGGCGATGATGTCCCTCTGGGGGGGGACAAGGGGCTGGGAGGGGTTTCTGTCGTCATCGAAAGCTGTGGGCAAGGCCTGGTTTTAATCACTGTCCAGGCAAGTCACAGCCTGACTTTAACATACGAAAGGAAGGAAGAGGGAAAATGCTCCTTGCTGGGGCCAGGGTTTCTCCTTGGGTCCTGAGCCGGTTCCTGACCCTCCAGGACCCCTGGCAGTTCGTTTTGAATCCTTAAGTTGACAAGCAGGGTTTACCTGAGCAAACACACATGGGCCTGGAGGTGAAGCTTCCTGCCTCTCCGGGCAGGCTCATGAGGCGCTCTTGGGGCGTCACCGCGAAGGGCCAGGAGGCAGCGGACGCCAGCACCCAGGTGTCCCCCCAGCAGGCGCGGCTGCAGGAAGGGCGGCACCTGCGCCCTGGGCACCTGCTGCGTAGGCCCCGCCCACCGCGCCGGCCGTTACTGCGAGCACGACCGGGGGCAGAGGTGTGTGCCTGCGGGAGCGGGCTGAGCGTTGGGCGGGGGGAGCAGCGGCGCTTGACCTTGCGGAGGGGAGCGGGCGCGGGCGGAGGGCGCGGGGTAGGGGTTGGGGGCGTGGAGGGGCGTGGAGGGGCGGGCAGGGGCGGGGCGGGGCGGGGCGTGGAGGGGCGCGGACACGAAGGGCTGGGAGCCGGACGGGGCGTGGAGGGGCAGGGCGTGGCGTGGAGTGGCGCGGGTAGCGCATGCGCGCCGACCCCACTGATGCTACCTCTCTGTCTGGGGGCCGGGTGGGGCGGGGCGTGGAGGGGCGTGCAGGGGCGGGGCGGGGAGGGGCGTGGACACGAAGGGCTGGGGTTCGGGAGGGGCGTGGAGGGGCGGGGTGGGGCGTGGAGGGGCCCGGACATGAAGGGCGGGGCGTGGAGGGGCGCGGGTAGTGCATGCCCGCCCACCCCGCTGGTGCCGCCTCTCTGTCCACTCAGGGAACGCGGCGCCCTGATACACGGAGCCTGGACCTGCCGCCGCTGCCGCCTTTGCAGGTGTGTGTTCGCAGCTCTGCACTGTCTCCCCCGGCAGACGCCGGGCAGCTGCGGTAAGAGGAGCGCGTCCTGTGCGCACAGTCCCCGCTCGCAGGGCATTGCTCCTTGGTGCCCTCCAATCCGCAGAGGTGTAGCTGGGCCAGGCGACACGGAAATGAGAAGCGGGGTTGATCGATCACATAGGAAAGTCACACTGGTTGGGAATCACATAGCATATTATCATTATTATTTAAACTGGTTCCTAGGTTTACTCGGCCCCGACTGCTGGGTTTAAGTGTGTTTTCCAAACGGTGTCCTTGGAGGGCGCAGACTTGGGGGAGCTCAGCAGCTGGTAAGCAGAGCCAAGCCTGGCAGAGAGGTTGCCCACTCGATCTCCAGTGACTGCCCGACACCGCGCCAACACCGTCTCCTTAACTTTGAAATGAGGAGCGCACCTGAGCAGGACGGGGCCGGCGTGGATGGCCCGGCACCACCCTTTAGAGCCAACCAGGCAGTGCTCCCAGAGAAGGAAGGCACCTGGTAACCACCCTCAGACCTGCCAGGCATACGAAAAGCCAGGAGGGTGTCGAGAGCACATGGGATGAACACTCATCTGTGAGAATTCTGAGCAGGGAGCAAACTCAAGGCACATGTTTCCCTTGTTACACTCAGGAACACGAATTACCTGGGTCAGAAAACAGACTTAGGAAAAGGAGGCACAGCATTTCCATCCCACATCCTGCACCCTCTCCGGTCTTCCGCATGCTCTGCCTGGACTCCAGGGAGAAGCACAGTGAATGAAGGCACACCCCTTCAGCCTCTTCATCAGCCCTGGGGGCCTTGGCTGTGCAGGGAGCAGTCAAAGCTCCCAGACCCCCTTTTCTGTTCCTCCGTCCACCTTCTTCAACTCTGGCCAAATCCCACAATTGAAGGGCATTTACTTCCTTATATCACAGCCCTTCAGCAGCACTCCCCACCCCTCTGTCCACTGTCAGGACTGCAGGGGAGGGGCGGCACCACGGGGATGGACCCTCCAAACCAGCGTCCTGCCCCTGCCTTCCTGGTGGGCCCAGGAGTGGAGGAGCGCACTTAAGGACTGCTCAGCTTCCAGCCCACCTTCCTGCCCCTCCCTCCCTGTGCTGCAGCCTTGGGGAGGATGAGCTGTCAAGAGATGCTGAATGAAGGTACAGCCCATCAGATATCACATCAAAGAGAACATGCAGACGGAAAATTAGCACAAGAAAACATGGACAAACTCACTCGCCATGAGGGAAATGCAAATGAAAACCTGAGAGTTATCATGACTACCCACCTGTTAGGACAGCTGGTTAATATAAAATACAGTACTACATTTCGGGTGGGAATGTAAATGGAACAGGAACGCTGGTAGGACAGTTTGATAGGTTCTATAGAAGTGAAACATAAACCCTATAACCTCGCAAGCACTTTCCTGGACCTTCATCCCAGAAATGAAAATTTAAGATCCCATGACTCACTCTGCAGAATGGTTCACTGCAGCTTTATTTGTAATAGATGAAAGACTAGAAAGAAACAAAGGGGTGAAGAGTGCCTCTGTGAAGGGACGTTTCTGAACTATGGCAGCTTTCTGTGAATCTGTAAATCGACCCCTCTACCTCCCTACCTCTCTGTAGCAGGTGCTCCACCTGTCAGCACACCTCAGAATAGTCCCTAAGACTAGCAGTGCCACCCTGGCTCTCTGGATCTCCAAGTATCCCTAACAGCCCCAGAACCCTAAGATGTGGGTGTCAGGCAGCAGTGAAAGAAGCAGGAGGGGTCTGGGGCTGGTCTGTTACTGGGCAGGTGCTGGGCTGTGATGCGCTGTGACCCTCAGGGGCAGAAAAGGCCAGGTGTGGGACAGAGACAGCATGCAGAATGTTGTCCTCCCAGAGCTGATGTTTTGCCTTGGGAGAGGAAAGGCCGGCACAGGGACCTGGCTCAGAGTCTCCTCCCCTTCTTCTCTCCATCCCCTTGGCCTCATCTAACCCCTGTCCTTGAGGATCACCTCCCCAAACCCACCTTCTCTGGCCTCCTGCTAAAAAACCACCACCCCAACCAAGTTGCCCCCATTTTAGTGATGAAGGAAAGGGGATTCAAGAGGCGAGCAACTCTGGGGTACCAGCCACCCAGGAGCCTGATGTTTGTGGAAACCAGGGTATATTGAGCAGGGTGTGAGCAGCAAAGCACAGGAAGTTCCAAGTGCTGGGATCACAGAAGCGACCCATATCCCCCTTACATCGAAGTGACCTGGACTCCACCAGCCTCCACACTGGCTCCTGAAAGCAGCGCTCTCAAATTAGCTCAGACACCATCCATCTTAGAAGTCAAGCCTCCCACTTCCTAAGGCCCCCTGATGTTCACTTCCCAACCCCAGGAGGAGCTTCTGCATGGCTCCATCCATTTATGCCCAGCTGCTATGAGCACACTGCCTTGACTGAGCTCAGCCCAGGGGCCACAGCTCTAGGCTCTTCACCAGGAGCCACAGGTGGGCCCCAGCTCACAGGGATTTGCAACTCACCTGAGCTTCCAGCCCACATCCCTGGAGCTAAGAAGGAACAACATTTCTCAGGATGGGCCATCCTAGAATCTCACCTTCCTACTCCCTTCTGACCCCCAGTGTCCACTTTATCATAAAATCATAGAATCTGCCTCTTGGAAGTGGTCCCTTTCCTTCATACCCTAGCAGACCCTACAGTCTGCAAGGTGGACCTATTCCCACCTCTCTCGCACTGTGCCTTACTCTGTGCAAACAGCCAGGCACCTAAAGCACCCAATGTGAATCCCGCATGTCTCCCCCAATTCCTGCGGTGTTTCTTTGGACACAACAGAGCCCACCATCCTGGCCCCTCACACCACTCTGCTTACCGTCCAGACCCCACACCTTCTCACCGAGACACAGGGAATGGTCCCATGCCTCTGGACTGCCTCACCCTGGTTCCCTGGCCTTGTAACATTTGCTCTTCAAAGGCCTGTATCACACAGGAACCTGTTGCGGAGAAACACCTGCTGTCATGGCCACAGTTGGAAGCCATAATAACATCAGTGTCCAATCTCAAGTTCAGCAACAATGTGCTGGGAGGTCTCAGCCAGAAATGCTTTATGCAGAAATACCTGGATATAGACATACTGCTTCTCCTTTTCTTCCAATAAGAACGGTGCTGACCTCAACAGCTGTGCTTGAGATCCAGAAATAAGTATGTCTGAATGTTTTCACAGGGCAGGCGGGTCATGCTGTGTCAGCTGGGCATGATTCACCAACACTTTCTCAGAGCCATGGAGACCCCTCCCCAGCATCAGGAGAATGTGATGACTCATAAGGGACAGGAGTGACTACAAGCCAGGCTGCATATTACAATCCCCCAAGGATAGTGCTCATAAATTACTCATTCAGAAATGATCATGTTTTAAATTGTTTTTTTTTTAATAAATTTTTATTATTAATTAAACTAATATTCACATTTGTACCAACCCCCAATCCTGGACATGACCACACTTTTCCCAACTCCCCTTCTATGCTATCCTGGGTGGGTGCACAGGCGTCACCCTTTGTAAGGCAGAAACTTCCAGGAAGACTTTCATTTGAATGAAGAACCTCTCCACCTCATGGAGCTCTGCCTGCCTCTCACTGCACTGCTTGGCCTCTTGTTTTAAGACCTCCACCTCTCCCTTGAGGATGGAGCACCTCTCCTTCAACTGGAGGATCTCAGACAATGTCTCCATAGTTC